TCAAGAACATGTGTGGGCATAAACGTTCGCAGGGCGTGGAGAACAATTGCTCGCGGCGCTGCGAACCATGGAAACCCAGCGGTATGCAAAACTTCTGTCGCGTACCTGCGGAAACAATCGCAACTTGCGCTATTTTTCGCCCGGCGGCAAAAAATTTCGCCGACAAAACGGCCCCCGTTTTGGGGTCCAGAAACGGACCCCAAAACGGGGGCCAAGTCGTCCGGACACAAGCAAATCAAATTGAGACTGAATGAGTGGCCTCCATTTTGGGGTCCGTTTCTGGACTCCAAAACGGGGGCCGTTTGGTCGGCAAAATTTTGGTCACCAGGCGAAAAATAGCAAGGGTTTCGATTGTTTCTGCAGGTACGCGACACGCTGGGTCCCATGGTTTTGCAGCGCCGCAGGCACTTGTTCTCCACACCCTGCGAACATGTATGTCCACACATGTTCTTGAACTGGGGAGGCCCTCTGTGGCGAGACCGGTTTTTGCTAGGGTTTTGGGACCCCAAACTGGTGTCCAGAAAAATCACTTTTTTCGATCCCTTGAAGGAGCAAAAAGTTTGGAAAACCTGTGAGATTTGAGAATTGCTGGGGGGAAAGGGTTTGGCCTGTATGATGTTCTTGATCGGAAGCAATCAAGCTTAGGGATCAATGGTCAGCTGCTTTTTTCGGCAGTCTGATTGCGGCCTTGCACGCTTGGTGCATTTTTGTTTGCTACAAAGCTTGTGGTGGACATCCGCCGTGAGTCGACCTAGCGCCCTGAGACCAAACGTTGCGAACCCATTCTTCGTATTTGTGGGCTGTCTTAATTTTGGATGAGGAAAGAAGGGTGGAGAGACGTTAAGCGAAGGTTTGGCGCCGTGGAGCCTGTCATGTTGTTTGCGTATGTTTACAGGAGCCATCTCTGGTCGTTCAGTATGACAAGGAAACCTTGTTTCGTTTTATTTGACGTCGTTGTTTGATGCATGTTGCGAAGGATGGGGTTTTGAAAAGATATTGTTGAGGTTTTGAGCTCGCGTCCTTTATGTTTGTTGCAAGCTACGCCAGGCTTGCGCCCGGGTCCGGTTCCATCTTAGCGTCAACGTTCAATTTTCCCTTGCAATATAGGGGTTTTGCGGTTACAATCAAGCTCTGGGTTGGGTCGGACCGTCTATTGCAGTGCGCGGTACCACCTCGGTACCACTTCATGAGGCCTTGGGCTCTTTATTACAATGCGCGGTACCACCTTGGTACCGCTCGGGCCCTCTATTACAATGCGCGGTACCGCCTCGGTACCGCTCGGGCCCTCCATTACAATGCGCGGTACCGCCTCGGCACCGCTCGGGCCCTCTATTACAACGCGCGGTACCGACACCCCGTTTGCGTTTTACAAAGTTTTAATTGGATCGGAATGAGTGAGGAACTTCCAAGAAAACACCAACAGAAAGCCACGAAACGCAACCTTAACATTGTAGTCCCGGCGCTTCTTCAAACGGGGCGCTCCCCACCGCTGCAGCTGGTCCTGCGTCAGCGCCACCCGGCTTCCAGAGACCAGCTGACTGATCAGGAACAATGTGAAGCGGCCAAGCGGATCACGACGCGTGCGAAAATCTTGTCCATTGACGGCCCCAAACCCAGCGCCAAAAACGCAGTGGATTCCAGGGTCGCCAAAGTGGGCCTCCCCAGTTCAAGAACATGCGTGGGCATAAACGTTCGCAGGGCGTGGAGAACAATTGCTCGCGGCGCTGCGAACCATGGAAACCCAGCGGTATGCAAAACTTCTGTCGCGTACCTGCGGAAACAATCGCAACTTGCGCTATTTTTCGCCCGGCGGCAAAAAATTTTGCCGACAAAACGGCCCCCGTTTTGGGGTCCAGAAACGGACCCCAAAACGGGGGCCAAGTCGTCCGGACACAAGCAAATCAAATTGAGACTGATTGAGTGGCCTCCATTTTGGGGTCCGTTTCTGGACCCCAAAACGGGGGCCGTTTGGTCGGCAAAATTTTGGTCACCAGGCGAAAAATAGCAAGAGTTTCGATTGTTTCTGCAGGTACGCGACACGCTGGGTCCCATGGTTTTGCAGCGCCGCAGGCACTTGTTCTCCACACCCTGCGAACATGTATGTCCACACATGTTCTTGAACTGGGGAGGCCCTCTGTGGCGAGACCGGTTTTTGCTAGGGTTTTTGGACCCCAAACTGGTGTCCAGAAAAATCACTTTTTTCGATTTCTAGTGATCCTTCACGTAATGTTTTGTGATCTTACATGTTCTACGTGCCATTTTGGTTCTAGGATACTTCAATGTTCAGCCCCTCCCTCCTCTACCCTCTTATTAGCTTCTCTCTGCTTAGTCCACCGACAGGTCAAAACGACCACAGGCATCAGGCTGATCCATTCAGCCCCTCGCGAGCACGCGCCTCTCAAGGAGGTGAACGCGTCACGGTCAAAACGACCTGCAACCACTCCGAAGACACGAGTGGTGGGACGGTGAGATGTCCCAACAACCTCGACGATTTCTGGCAGTGAAAATGAAAGTAGCGCGTTAGCATTGGAGAGAAGTTGTGGATGTTTTGTTGAACATTGTAAGTATCTCTAGAACTTGCAATGTGCCTATGCCCGTTGGTAAAATCATTATATACAAGCTTTTCATGCGACTATTCGTGCAGGAACTTGTTCTTTCAAGTTTCAACTTGATGAACTGAAACATTGTTTCGTTGTTTATTCTAGTTCTATACATTGTCATTTGTTTGACATGTATCCATTGCTCCTGAGCTGCTGCTTCCTTTGTCTTCTGGAGCTTCGAGTTAAGGTTTCTTTGCATTTTGTTCTTCTTCTTCTTCGTGCGCCTTGCCTGGGACACTTGGACACTCCTCTTCATCGCTTCCTTCAGGATGAGTGCGTTGCTCATGGCAGTCTTGAATTGCTTTCTCGTCTGGATGTTAATATTCAGTGTCTATGCGGACGTTTGTTTTCTGATCTTTTTTCAATGTTCCCAAAATTGTTGATGCGGCTGTGATTATAAAAATGGTGCGGGAAGAGTAAGATTGAAACAGTATACCTATTTGAAGTATTGCCTTTTTTTTGGTAGTCATCTAGCATCTTTAACAAGATTGAACAGTTTATGGGGCTTTTGGCTATGGGCTGATTCTGCACATTTGCTGGCCGTCAGCCATTCTGTAGGTTGGTTGCAGAACATAGGACTACTGAGACTGAAAGCTTCTTTGGTGCATGCACACAAGATGGAGGGCCTGGAAACTCGCTTGAACATGAAAAGCGGACAAGAACGTTCTTGACTTTGTTTACCATTCGGCATTGGACGCCCAACACCTTTTTTCGACGCTCAAACGATTTCATGGAATGCCAGCTTCTGCAACTCAGGACGCGAATTGTCAAACAGATACTTTGTGCACACTTGTGTTTCAAGTGAGCAATTCCAGGATGGTGGGGCAGATGGTGCGCAGCTTTCCTGACCAACGCATCCTTTTTGCAGCAACAAATTGTTCAAAACTGATCGGTCAGAATGGAACCGTATTGCATTTGTTTTGCAAGGTTCCGCCTCGTCGCGACCTCATTAATGATGAATGCATTGAATCATCCATGCTTCTCATCAATCTTTTTGAAGGTCTCAAGCCGCGCAAAGAACTGAGGAACCCATAAACTTTGGTTTATGTGAAACTTTTGTTTGGTTTTTCTTATGCACATTCATATTTACAACCATTGTCATACATGTTTGCCAGGATGCCCAATCTCAAAGGGTTGAAAGCGAGTTGCTAGATGATGGGGAGGCAGTTTTGCTGCCTGTTGAACACATGCAGCCAAATGCTTCATGATCCTTGTGTTGTGTCTGAAGTGTTCAGGCTTTGGCCCAATTTCATGCAAAAGCAAAGGCGAGGAGGAAGAACAGGCAAAAACGCGTCCAGCATCTTGGTTGCACGTTCGGCTGCCATGGCCCATGCTGTAAAAGGAATGAATGCAAACCGCGTGAGAGGTATCAGTTCCTGTTCAAGGACATGAACCTGGGCTGGTTACTTGAAGTCATTTCGAGGAACAGTGTTTTGAACAGGCAGGAGCCTTCGTGATCATGCTGGCGGTGGTAATGATCACGAAGAAGATACAGCAGTGGTGACTTGCATAGCATAGCTGGGTCACGCTTCTTACACGCAAAGGCTGTCCTTTGCACAGGTACAAGCCGGCAGCTGACAATGCTGCCCCTGCGGAGGCGAGCTGGACACATACAAGCACAACTTGATCAAATTTGGTGGGATGACAGCCTCAAGGCGAAGACAACGAAACCAAATCTTGCTAGTCATGACGGCCTCGATAGCCCAGCACCAAGTTGAAAGCCAAACTTTTAGACGCTTCAATCACAGTTGGACTTCCTTGGTTCCTAAGGCGAGCTTTGACAGAATGCAAAAGAGTCTCACACACACAAGTCTGGCAATAATTCATGATGGAACCTTTTGCCACAATCAAGTTTCATTGGAACAGTCATCATAGGTTTGGTTGGATGTGTAAAGCAGATGCAGCACCAGTGCGACAAAGAACTGACTTCGCCTGTGGTTCGCTTGCAAGGACATGGCAAAAAAGTGTTCGGAAATGCTGTGCAATGCAGATATGGGTTAGTTATGGTTAGTTCTAGTTTTTGGTATTTTTGGCGGAAATGAGGTGTGGAAACATACGTGGCTCCGCAGTTCTGCGATAGAAACTACAATTTGCAATGTGGCAGCTCCGCCCGCACGGGGAAAGATAATTATTTGTCGCCGCTGGAAGCAAGCTAGGTAGCCAAATCTGAAGAGCTTTGCTGCAAGATTCTGGACTTGTTCGTTGCTTCCAAAGCACACTACTCAAAGCTTCTCGATAAGTGTGTGTCATCCTCAGCGGCCAAGCAGAGCTTAGGAGGAGCACACTACACTTTAGGATTTGCACGTGTCATCCACGCACAGCCCCTCCAACTCTGAACATTAATCCACCGCACGAAGGCGAGGGGAAGGTGTAGAAGGCTCCGCCACTTGAGGCTTCCCCTTGATTCCAGGGTTACACACATGCCCCTCCAAAAGTGCACACGAAACAAAAAGATGAAGGATGACATGACCAGTCTAGCAGGCACGGACATGAAAGCAAAAAATATGAAGCGGTGTTTGTGTACACCAATCAACGAAAGGTAAATTGTTGCAGAGAATGCCAGGGGGTTGAGTTGAGTGAAGCTGGTATCAACGAAGACCTTCATTAGTCACTTGTTCCTTTGAGATGTACTCCGGATGCTGCTGGCTAAAGCGAAACTCCGGCCTTTGCATCGATTTGCACTAAGGGGCGATTTCACGTTTCCAACACGAGCTTCTTGTTGTTGCAAGCGGCGTTGAAAGTCGAAACGACGCACAATGTATCAGAGCACACGCCATTAGAGTACAGCCATCAGACTTTCTCTTCTTTCTGCATTGTGCAACTTCAACTTCTCCTTGGCTTTGCGCATCCTCAACAACATTGATTTCCTTTCCTTTCCCTCCCCTTTCCTGCTCCAACCCATCCTGAACTATGTGCGAAATTGTTTGATCCCCGAACAACCTACATACAGACCTCACTCCGGTCGTTACCTTGACCTTCGATTGTTCTATACCAGTTAGAAGCCACCAGGGTGTTCCACACCCGATTGGGTATGCCTCGGGAAATGTACAATGATAGGTGTGACACTGCTTTCAAACTCCCTAAACTTAAGTACATTTGTACAGCTAGAGCGTCCCTTGAATCGAGCTGTAGGGATCTGACACCCTCTGGAAATGCAGCAGTGTTTTCTTCTCTTTCGCCTTGTCTCATTTCTTTTCACACTTCAGGGTGGAACCTGGAAAGGTCTCGCTGGGATCTGCGGAATGACTGGCATCATTTGCGAAGTGAATTGCTTCCAGAAACTGAACGAAATCACTGAAGCGACCGTCCGGATCCGTTTCATGATGTTGAACCCAAATCAGGCAGGAACGAAAATCTGGCTTCTTGGTCAAATCATCATAGATCAAATTCAACATGCTCTCCTTGGGAAGTCTGCAAATTGTAGAACTCCAGTCAGCCAAACTCGACACTCCGGCTGGGAGCTTGATCTTGTTCAATCCATCATGCGTCCCTGGCTTCACCGGATTCTGCTTTGACGCAAGGCTCAACTGCATGTGTTCCTTCTCCAAGGATGTGGTCTCCTCATATGGAATTGGTTCCCATGATTCATCCAGACGATGGCTTTGCAATTTCTGCCTGATGAGCTCTGACCATGACTGACTTGGCTTGAGCGAGCTCTTCGGCTGTCACCGGAGTCGATGGAGAGGCCATCCTTCACTGAAAGCTGGACCGGTTGAAAGTTCACACACGCTCAAATTTCCAAAAGACAAGGCTGCAGAAGTATATCATTGTCTATATTCCGTCTATCTGACAATATGTATTCACTGTCCATGCAGTATACAATATACGAATAAAAGCTGCACTTTGATTCACCTGAAAAGAACGGGTGCACTTTCAAAAGGGTTCTGCAAGAACATTCTCCCCAGCATTGCACAAAACCCAACAGTGTTCAGCACTGCACATGCAATTGCACTCGAATGCGAACCTCAGAATTCATGAGTCATTCTTGTTCGACGACTTGTGATGGGCTTCAGCTTGCTGGCCAGCGACTTGCTTGTGGGAACTCTTCCCTTTTTCGATCTAGAACAGTTTGTTCATTTGCCAGCTGATATGTGGCTGATCGAATGACTGATCGAAGCAAATCCATCGGTTCGGCACGATCCTTAGTCATCCCATCTGCTACCGGTCCTTCGGTCGTCCAGCACACCTCCAGAACCTAAAGAGTTGTGGTCGAAAAGAGTTCTACAAATTCTACAATACAATCCATTCCTATACAGGCTCTACGCTGCGTCGAGCGCGACAACAATCTGACCTCAGGATAAAGGTCCCGTACATTCCCCTGACTTTGTGTTTTTGGTTCGATGCAGCCTTTGCTAACACATCAGAAAACAAGACACAAGAAGGATAGGTTGTGGCTTTCACACCCAAACAGATGAGGTAGGGTATAAACATGCCTGTGAATTGCTTCGCAGGAAGTCCTAGAGACTTCCCAGAGGCGCGTGTCATCAATCATGGCAGGCGAAGCGCAAGCCTTTTCAACGGCATGTCCCTCATGTTAGCTGAGTGTCTTGATAGAATCTATAATCCTTTTTTGGATGCAGAAGTTCTCCAGCTTAGTTCGCTTTCTGCAAGTCAAACATCGTCGGCTGAAGAAACACTTGGTGACCCAGAGAAGTCTGAACTGATAAATCTGGTCCAGTCTGAGTACTCAACCAACTCAGAGCTCTGTTGACTGCGCGAAGGGCGGACACTTCCTGTGGGTTTGCTGGCAACCATGGTCTTCAAGCTCTTTCCTTGTTGATCTTGATCAGTTGAATGTGTTCAGCATATTCCTTCTGGCAAAAACTGATTTCTAGGCTATTGGGATCCTGTACCGACCGCCACTTCCTGAAAGGAACACGTGTGCGCAATTTCTGCACTGCAGGGTGATATGCCGCCCCATGTCCTCCGGTGATTGTGTTATCTACGTGAGCGCCTAGAATACACCCTATCGCACTTTCAATACCACTCAGGAGGAGCGCCGTTTGATTGTTTGAACGGCGACTAGGTCTATGGTCACAGACTAGAAGTTCACGATAAACACTAGAATTCACTAGACCGAAACGGTTTCGACCATCGCCACTGAGGCAAAATCAGCAGCGTGCAGCCGAAACCACAGCCAGATTCAGTCTAGCACAAAAGAGCTGTCAATTATACAACTGGCAGTTGTTCAAGCAAAGTTGCACCATCACAACCCTGGGAATCTGCACCGGTGGCAAGTTCTCATCCCCGCTCAGCAGCAACCTCATCACCTCTCCTTTTCACCAGTACACCAGCAGAAGTAGCTTTATCCCCAAACGAAAAGTACAAACGCAACTGCACAAAAGATGAAATCGCACCGATAGTTTCCGCTGCATTCATGCAGTCGCGCGGCTCGGCTTTCCTTTCCTTAATCAGGCTGTTCAGGTGCTCATAGATTGTGATGTGCAATCCGTTTCGCATGAAACTGTTTTGGGGGGCTGTGGATGCTGCTTGTTAAGAAACATGGACGTGTTTCCAAGAGGTCATTTGATGCATTTTGATAATGCAGAGGATACTGCACATTCACACTAACAACTTCGCAGCCGCGCAACTCGAAGAGTCGTGGGAGCAGCTGAAGTCGACTGCTGCCACGACGGAGGCGGGGAGTTTGATTCATCTTGAGAGCATGCTGTTTTGCTCCGAGAGAGTCGTTGGCAGTTTATTGCAGCGACACCAGCTTAGTGAAGAGTTCTTTCTTGATTTGGTCTTGCTTGGCAGGTGTTGAAGCCTCCAGAGTACCATCTAACATTAAACTCCCAGGTTCCTGGAAGTGAGAACCTGAAGAGCAGCACTGTTGTCGTTAGGATCTGAGCGAAACATCAATTATCGTTTATGGAGGTTTGAAGATGGAGAAACCTGGCTAAAGCTGAGGTCCTGGAATCGTGGTCATGGCTTTTTGACTGCACTGACCCTTTTCAAGTATCAAGGGGCAACTTTCTTTCTTGGGCCATTCAATTACAGAAGTTTTGGAACGATCTGTGATGCCTTGAGATTGTTTTAGACACTGCAAAGCTGTGTGTCTAGCGAGGCTGACCCCCAGAGTCTGAACAAGGTCTCGGCGGAAAGCTCCTGGCACACTGTCGCTGGTCGTGCGGGCCTTATCATGTTTTCGTTTTTGTAAGACAAAGTTTGTAGTTCGGGTTGTATGTTGAACTGTGTCCAATGCTTGTGAAAACTCGATACATCTCATATTGTCAAGGACAAGCTCGCATGGAGCGTTTCCACCAGACGCGCTCAAGGCTGCCTGTTTAAAATGGCTGAATGATGAAACACATTTGATGCAGAATTGGTCAGCTTTCTTTGGTTTTTGGCTTGTTATTGTGTTTGTTTGTTCTATCCAAGCAGACCAATCCTTGCGCGATTTTAAGATTGCACATCTGGCAGGCATAAACATCACGATGCTACAAGATATGTGGATGCCGAGTTGCTTTTTGGCACTTCAGAGGTAACCGCGCAAAACTGTTTTGATATAGCGAACTTAGACATACCTCGGGATTTTGCTACTAATTTTTCTTATGTTGAAAGTTGTAGCCTCACAAAGGCGCGAATCCAAGTAGTGCTTTGCAATAACTTTCGGTGAAAAGTGGCAGGTGTCAAGTGAGTTGATGTGCTTTGGCATTTGTGGTATCAGCGTTCTGCTGTTAGAAGGGTTTGCTCGAGGCCTACGTCGTCAGCTTCTGGCTCGGTTGCTGGCTGCGCAGAACTAGCATAGTTTGTGGGAACTGGCTAGCCATACTTAGAAACGTACTCAACCTAAGCCTTTGCTAATCCTTAAGGATAGTTTTGCGACACAGCTTGCAAGATCGTATGAATTGAAATGACAGGCTAGCAATGGGCATAGTCCGCCCAGTCAGCAGCAGGTCGGGCAGAGCCATGCACATCAGATTATATAAGATGGAAACTGGGTGCAAATAGTCGA